CCCCAAAACCCCAAAACCCCAAAACCCCTTTTAATAAAATTAATATTGAAATATAATGGACTTAGGACTGAGAAAATTGCATACAAAGAGCACTGTCAGAAGGGTTAAGAGTACGCCGAAAAATAATCTCTAGTAAGCACTAAAGAAGCAATATATAAAGATATCAAGGTCATAAGTAATTTATCTCTTAAAATACAGCTTCTAAAATGCCAACTAGTATGACTAAAATGAAAACTCTGACATCAAGGTACTTTATTTATTAATTAACTGATATAGTCTCAAGAAGAAAAACTCTTTCGGAACAATTAGAAGCACCATATCAGATAGAAACCATCTTAATAGCATAAGAGTATTCTTATAAATTCATAACCTAGGCAACAGGAAAGTCAAAAGGTCGTTCGAAATAAATTACAGCCAAATTATGATGGCATTGACAGAATCCATCCGAACCTGAGTTTGAAAACTCTGAGATTATTTGAAGAGAGAAGAAGGATCCAAGGTGAGTATTATCATACTAACCTCTGTAGACTTTGCAAAAGAGCTAGATATTGATCTTGATGGGTAAGATCCTACTTTAATATTCTAGTGCCCCTATGAAAACTGCAGGGTTCTTAGTCGACAAAATAGCTACTGAAGTAAACTATGAAGTTATATCCACATTAATTTTTGAATATAGATTTAACAAAATTCAACGAACTCCTATCCGATCTGAGCAACGGAGTAAGTTCTCTTTACAAACCTAGTCACATTTGCTGGTGAAGCTGAAACTTTGAGAAGTAGTAATACATCTCGAAGATCGAGGGGAAAATACGATTCTAATCAGAAACAATCGATGTAATTATTCTCTAATATTAGTTCTCATACAAGGCGGAAGTCAACAATTTATCAGCCCAAGAATAAACTCAGGCACAATAATGCCATGTCAAAAGCAAAATCTGGAGAGTTAGAAGTCATCTTGAAAAAATTTAAGAAAGATGTCAGAAGAATGTCCACCAGGGCTAAAAATGTTAAAACTTTTAAAAGAAGGGATTCTCAGGTTATAATCCCTAACCAGTCAAATAGTCCTTTTCTTAAGAATAGGGAGTTTTTCAATAGTCAAAAGTATTTGCACTTTCTCATTTCTTAGGGACTGCTCTCCAAGAAGACAGATAAATTTTGATAAGAAAATAAATAATTTCAGTACGAAGTTGCTTAAATTTTAGTAAATGCTACCCGCAAAGTGAATTATGAAGACACTGAGAAGAACAGCCAGGAATCTACAGATAAGTTTACAGACGGCATGTTCAATAATTTTGTCATGAAATCAGTTAGTAATCATCTCCATCGTATGTCAGAAGGATCAGAAGAGTAAGATAACTACTGTTTATAACTCTATAGGGTTAAGAAGGTCATCGAGAAGTCTAAAAGAATGTATCTTCCTAATTTGAGCAAAAGACTCAATAAGCTATTTGCCAAGTACTAGAGGCTCTGAATATTGCAAGAAATCCTTAAGGTTTTTCTAAATACATTACTGAGAGTCCCATATTGTTGGAAACTATCAATATAGGTTTTATTTTGGGGTTTTGGGGTTTTGGGGTTTTGGGGTTTTGGGGTTTTGGGG